TTTTTTTTTTTTTTTTTTTTTTTTTTTTTTTTTTTTTTTTTTTTTTTGTTTTTTTTTTTTTTTTTTTTTTTTTTTATTGTTTGTAAATGTTTTTTTTTTTTTTTTTTTTTTTTTTTTGGCTCGTAATCTTGTAGAGAGACTCATAAGAATTTTGGAAATAGGAGGCTAAAAACTCATCTTTTTTGTTTTTTTAATGCCATGCCTCTTATGAGGAATATGAATTGATATGTCCTAAAATAGGAACTTAATAAAGGAGGGAAATCCCTTTTGTCTGCTATAAGAATAGTGTATTGTTCAGATTTAATTTACTGTTATGTTGCTCTTAAAGTTTTAGGCATTTAACCAGAACAGAGAAAATTTTATAACTGCTAGTTACACTATCATTGTAATGTAGTTAAGTATAAAGAAAATAGCAGTGTGCAAAATAATTTCCTCTCATATTGTTATAACGGTACACAATCAGGTCACAAGTCCATCTTTATTCACCCTGTACCTCAGCTTGAGTTTTGAAAGCTAGTTACCTTTTTTCCTTAGTTTGAAGTATCATTATAAAGTGTAATAGATAAACATCCTAGTAAAGAATAAAATTAAAAACCATTTCTGTTAATACAGATACTTAAAAAGGGCAATGATTTCCTCTAGGTATCTTTAGTATTGTACTTTTGAGTTTGTGTAAAGTCCAAATAAGGCTGCAATTTCTGCACATAGTTTTGAATCAACCTTAAACATTTCAAATCTTTTTGATAGTCTAAGATTTTTGATGCTGTTTTATTTCATGTGAATCTCTAGATCTGGGCACACTGTGCAGCCTAATGTTGGAGCGAGTGCATTAATGAATGAGCAAAAAGCAACTTACATACTGTGTACAAAAGATTTTTCTGCTTCTAGGGTTTATCTTTGGTTCTTCTCATCAGTGTTAGTTTTTCAGTTGCATAGTTTCTTTGAATTTCATACTTGAATACTCGGAAACTTTTAGGCCCCCAAAATGACTCAGATTTGGGAGGAGAAATTATACTGACTTTAAAAGCCTAGGGGTCAATAAGAGACCCTGAGATTCCTGAGGCTACCTGGAAAACATTATAGGGGAAGTGTATGAAGAAACAGTATTTGGAGGAGAAAGACCTAGAGGAATTGAAATCTATTAGTGAAGCTTGAAGCTTGATCAGGCTTTTGTGAAAATAGTCAAAAGCACAGTGCCAGGATTGAACTCTACTTTTGCTATAACCGCATTAGTCTGTTTATGCCAGGGAATGGCAGCTAAATAACCCAGCTTTAGTTCTCTGTTTTGATATACCCAACTGGTATTTGGAAAATCTGGAGTCAGTCATAAAGAAGAATACAGTACACTACACATAATTCATCATAACTGGGTAGTCAAACTGGAGAGACCATCTGGACCTTCACTTGCTGTAGGCTAATTTGCCATAGCCTAGAAACAGGGCATGCATAGTAAATATCCTTTTTTGTTAAAATTAAAAAAAATAATAGTTACGTTAGGATACTTTGTTAGAATCTAGAATACGAAATAACATACTTCATGTGTCTTCTTAGCAAAAATACCAATAATAAGGGGAAAAGCCATCTTTAATTTATTAAATCAACTCGCAAATGGCAAACAAGATAGCAGATCTGGGTTTTCAGAAAGGTAACATTTTTTATACTAAAAGAGATTTAGCTATCTAGTAACAATAAGAAATTGTGATAATGTCTAAAAAAAATTTCAAGAACAGTGGTTTAAAAAAAAAGTCAAAAACATTCTGTTTTAACAAAATAAGTCATACGGCTAAGTAGATCCTAAAAATGAATGCAAATCACACTGTAATGTTTTCCTTAGGATATCTCTGTTTTCACAGACTTAGACGACCTTTTCTTCACTGCTTCATGTGGGTTGTGGAAGGTGGTCATATAAGTTGAGTGCTGTGTTCTTAGAAAAACGTTTTCGGCCGGGCGCGGTGGCTCAAGCCTGTAATCCCAGCGCTTTGGGAGGCCGAGGCGGGCGGATCACGAGGTCAAGAGATCGAGACCATCCTGGTCAACATGGTGAAACCCCGTCTCTACTAAAAATACAAAAAATTAGCTGGGCATGGTGGTGCATGCCTGTAATCCCAGCTACTCAGGAGGCTGAGGCAGGAGAATTGCCTGAACCCAGGAGGCGGAGGTTGCGGTGAGCCGAGATCGTGCCATTGCACTCCAGCCTGGGTAACATGAGTGAAACTCCGTCTCAAAAAAAAAAAAAAGAAAAATGTTTTCATATGTTTTTAGAGATTTTACATATTTCATTGAGTCGATGGTTGTCCCTAAAACATCTGTGTGTCTTGTAGCTATCCCTATTCTCCATGTTGGAAAAATCCTGCCATAATAATTAAGTTTCTCCCAGACTACTCTACTGTATTAAAAGTAAAAATATTTATAAAAGATTTAGTGGCATTGCTAAGTCCCTAAGTTACAGACTAAACCTTTTTTATGAATGAAAAGATAATCGTTAGGAAATGTTAGTTTATGATAGTTGTAACTTGTGAATTTTGGTTTTCAAATGATGTTAGATACGGAGCCAAAACCAAAATACTGTCAAGTAGAACATAAAAATATTAATTCAGAATTCATTTCAATTTGACAAGGTAAACTTAATGAAGAATAATTAACATGCTTTGGAGAAAGTGACAAAAATATGAAAAGAAAAAATAACTTTAAAATATTACTACACTATATTTCCTCATATATAGAAGGGTTTTGAGGAATACTTTTGACCGATTATCTTCAATATGAAGGTTTTCATTTACTGGCATTTATTTCCAAAACAAAGATTCCTATAATCTATATTACTTATCTAAACACAGAGTGGGAGTATTAGTTCATACTGTATTCTACTTGTAACAAGTTGCTGATTTACTGATTTAAAACATCTTGGAGAAAAAATACAGAATATTCATGGAAAACTTTCATTATGATAATTGGGTAACATGTAACAGTTTATATCAAATATCTTGAACTCACCACAGTCTCTAGTCTTTTTCCCTTCCTGTTTATGACACCATTGTGATTTTAGTGTCACAGACAGTCTTTGTTTCATATGTTCAATTTCTTGCCACATCCAGATGTAGCATGTCTGTAGTGTCTTCTGTTTCAGCTGCTGCTGCTGTTAGGTGCTCTTTCCCTAACCTTTCACTAATTTTAATCTTATTTCTCTGCTTTAATATTTTTACCTGTTTGTGACATTAAAGTTTTCTTAAAGTACAACTTTCATCATAACTTTCATGTGCAGAACTTTCAGTGGTGTTGCATTACCGCCAAAATAAAATCCATCATATCCATAAAAATCCATAATCTGCTTTTCATCACCACCTAGTGTGACTCCACTCACTTTCACACATTTTTTGGTAAAGTCAACATCTACTAAGTAGGCTTTCTCTTTACCCTCTACTTACTTAGCCCTCTGCTTTTACGCCCACGTATCCAAAATTATAGAACTTTTTATTTTATTAACAGGCAGTTTGATAATTTATTGTAGAAAGAGAAGAACTACGATTCAAACAGTTCAATAATGAAATTTCTTCAAAAATCAAGCATTTTTCCTCTTCAGGAGTTTTGCATACATATCTAGAATCACCTACCCCAAGCTTTTTTATGGCTGCTTCATTTTCACCTTTGAGGCTGCTTCCTTTTTATCTTGGATTAAATGTTTTCTTTTCTCTAAATTCTCAGTATTTATCAGAGCACCTTGTTTCTTTCAGTCTAGCACTTTAGATATTATTTGTTAATGTACTAATTTATTATGTATTTCCCCCAGTAAATTTTAAGCTGAGAACAGGGACTGTAACTGTTTCAACACATTTTATTTGTATTGCTTTGCACAGAGACTAGATATTAAATATTTATTAAAGACAGAAATAAGGAAGTGATGCTACTTTGTATTCAAAGCTTTATGTATTCCTGGACCTTAGCTTATCTGTTGAAAATAAAACCTAATGGCCTGGCACAGTGGCTCACACCTGTAATCCCAGCACTTTGGGAGGCCAAGGCAGGCAGATCACCTGAGATCAGGAGTTGAAGACCAGCCTGGCCAACATGGTGAAACCCCATCTCTACTAAAAATACCAAAAATTAGCCAAGCTAGTGGCAGGTGCCTGTAGTCCCAGCTACTCAGGAGGCCGAGACAGGAGAATTACTTGAACCAGGAGGCAGAGGTTGTAGTGAGCCAAGATCACACCATTGTACTCCAGCCTGGGCAACAAGAGCAAAACTCCGTCTTAAAAAAAAAAAAACAAAAAAAAAAACTACACAAGACCT